GCTGTTCATGAGCTTATTGGCCGTTGCGGCGGAGCTTCCCGTAGTTTCTTCATCTTGATCCCTAGCCGCTGTCGAATGGCGCATACGCTCCTGCCAGCCTCCCCAGTGCAGGTCGTCCTCCGTGATGAGATCCGGGTTTACATCTGTCATAGCATCATTACAATCCTTGACCCATTCCTCATTCTCTCTAACGCTGCTGTTAAAGTTCCCTTCGATCCAAGGGAAAATTTTCCTCTGCAGCTCCAAGTCAGGGATAACGAGATTACGCTCAAGGATATAAGGTTCCTGTTCCTTGTTGAAATGAGCCATATAAAACGCGCCAGTGGTGGGGTTCTTTGGAGCATAGAAACTCTCCATCTGTCCCATTACCCAACGCCCAAGGTGACGGATATGCTCCAAGCCTAAGCCCAGACGGTACGCATCTGATGTTCCTGCGTGTCGACCGGCGTGAGTGACCTTGGTCGAATAAATGCCACAGGTTCGCATCACAGAAGCTGTGGCATCGATTTGAGTCTTTGGTGCAACAGCATTCTTGCGAAGGCCTGCGTTGCGCTTCTCGATCGTACTAGCCGCGACCAAAAGCTTGATGTTGTACCAATCGTCAGGATCAGCGAAGTTTGGGACATCCTCCTTATCCAGCTATTATAGGAATGGTACGCGACCCAACATTTAACAACGAGCTAGGAAAGTACATAACCTATATTGCAGTAAGAAGAGACAAGAATGGCACAAATCTCTTACCATAAATCGTTCTAACATGTAGAAGCCAAACGCTCCTACAGTACACCTGTAAAAAACTTTATGACGAAAGGCGGTTGCATAAAGCTTAACACCCTTTTTATTTGTTTTGCCACGAGATATGCAAAACGTAAGTCCGAGAGCTGGCTGGGACCCACTTGCCGGATGGGAAGACATGATACTGAACACATCAGATAGGTTAAGATTGCGAATGTCTTCATCTCGCAGCAGCATATGGTGTCGTGCCAAGATGCAAAGGCGCTCACGCATATATTGAAATCTACCTTCCGCATGGTACACTCGCTTCCCTTTTAGCCGCAGCATTGGCTTCATACCCCACGTATGGAGGGCCATCCGAATGAACTGCTTCTCATTATAGGGGTCGCGAATAGAACAGGTATCAGTGCGCGTCGATCCCTGGAATGAGGTGTCGTACACTAGTTTCCCCTCGTATTCCTCGATAGCCTCCTTCAGCGGGATATCCTTGCGCGGATGAGGTGCAGGGTTTGGCCAATCCACCTTTGATGACGCTTGCTCCTTGTAGAGATAAATTAATGCCTTCCTGGCACAATCCACTGTTTCTATCGAGATAGGCGCATAGATGAATCTTCGGCCAGTCTCATCAGTTTGCGGATGCGAAAGAACTATATTTGGATTAAAATGAAGTGTCAGAATGTCAATTAAGAGTGAGCCACAGCTTTGAACAAGGTTATTTTGGTTACATGATTACACTAGATTTACTTTTTGCTCTTTCCGCAATGGAGGAGACCATGAGGGCTTGTGGTTCAGCAGACATGAGGGCCTCTTCTTCAGCTGGTTGCGAGTGATTTTGTTCCTCGTCTTCGCTTCCTGCATCGTCTTTGTCACCTTGGGAGGCTTCCTCAAACCCCTCAAATGCCGGAGTCTCATAAGGCTGTGAATTACGTTGGCTATAATTTTGCTCCAGCTCATGGACAACATCCTGAAAAATACTTTCCTCTGTCTCTGCTTTCCAAGCCTTTGGTTTTCTCTTATTTTCGCGAGTCAGCTTGCCCTCTAACACTGATCTGGCCGCTTGTGATGAAGCCTTTCCAACGACGCCACTGAATCCCGCGTTTGAATCAATATATTTCTTTACTGTGCGCTTGAAAACAACCTCCTCGAAAAACTTTAACATTTTTCTTGCGTCAACGCTGCAGTCCGCTTTTTCTCTTGTGCTGCAGAACACCTATCATTTATATTGTATTTGCATATTTTGTATTACGAAGCATGAAAAAAAAAATTTGACTGTCCTAAAAAATAAAATAAACAAATAAACAAAATAATAAACTTACCTGCCAAGCTTTCAAGTATGTCTTGTACTGCAGCAATGTCTTTGAGGGATTCTTGTTGGCGAGGAGAGATTCGAGAACATGGTTAGCACAGGTTTTTCTCTGCTCTGCTGTTTCTTCAGACGAAAAAGGCGACTGAAGGTGGCTGGAAGAGTTATCAGTTGTTGCACCGATAATCGTGCCTTGGGAGTAGATCCGCTTGCGAGGGGTGTGTTCCTCGGAGACGTTGTGGACGCCTACAGAACAGGCCCTTCTTTTGCCCTCGCGGATCTCTCTCCTTTTTTCTTTTTCATCTCTGGCTTCCTTAGCCTTTCGTGCATAGCCACTTCTTCCTTCTTTCCCTTGCTTCACGCTAAATTCGAAGAAGGTCCCGCTTGGACCTGAGTTTATTGATGAAGAGGCAGCGTTGCCAGAAGAAGAAGAAGCGATAGTGCGGGGCATCTTGATAGGTTACTTTATATTTTTTGTTGAGGGAATTGGGTAGATATTTGTGAGTACGATCAAGTGTTGCAAGTAGTGGTTATCGTAATAAATAGCGATGATGTATAATGTATAAAAGAAAAGAATAAAAAAGAAAAATGTAAGCGAACATGGTTTTATACTTTTAGCTCATATTGTCAAGTCCAGTTCAAGAATATACTCTCCTCATATTTCAATTGTTCAATCGCTATCTTAGTGAGCTTGATCAATTGTTAGCTTCCCTCAAGCGCGTTATTTTCCTTTGAGTACGGAATGAGTACAGATGAGGAATGAGTGGAATGAGTGGAATGGAATGCGGGAATGAAGAATTGAGTATGAAGCAAGGTGTTGATCAGATCAGACCGCTTTGTGAGCGCGCTACGCGCGTGTAACTAAAGATACTTTTAGTTTCTACTTTTCAGTTAGATGTAGTGAAAAGACATGTGCCTGAATTCTAACCTCTGTGTCTCTGTGTCTGTACGTGAAACCTATGAAACATTTTGCCTATTAATGGGCATACACTGGAATTTGACTTAATAAACTATTACAGTATGTGAAGGCGGCGCGTCTTGAATCTCTAGGCGTCCAGGGACATGGAATAAAAAAACATCAAGAATGTGGCCAAGGCTGCCACGCGATTGACCGGTAAAATGTGATACAACATTGGATTGTGTCGTCAGTATATTAATAGTTCTCGGTATATTAATGCTACATGCTGTTGAGGGCATCAATCTCGCCAGAATCATCCCTCTCACATCAATTCATGCCAGACGGATGAAAGATTAGGAGGAAAAGGTCCTTGATATCTGGGATATCCACGCTTATTTATAATCTCACCAAATGTTCTGTGTCTTGCGTTCATAGGCGGTTAACCGCAGTTTGGTTTTCGTATACCCCTTGAAGAACGTAAGCAAAAATGCCTTTATGTTTTATATTTGATACTCATCAATTTACCATTTTTACTAACTTGTGTATTTCAAATACTCATAGCCAATAAACGGTTTAGCAGCATTGAGAAGGAATTTTATTCCAAGGATTGGTCTGATTTATCAAGGCTTATATTTATGGCACCGTTAAATTACCAGTAACAGACGGCGCAATGTCAGGCTTCCCAGATGCTTGGCGTCGATTTCAGTCAGAAAAAAGAGAGGCGACACATAGACCATCACTCCTATTCTTTGATCCTCCTGGTTTGGATGGCTCTTATATGAGCTGCGACTCTAATAACAAGGCAAAAGAGATCCTTGTACATATTTTGTCGCATAGTCCCAGCTTTTGCTCACTTTAGGAGCATCTGGCTGTGGAAAGACTCGAACAGTTATGGACATGGTGATTTTATTTCAATGCTGGTCGAGATGACCGCGGATCAGATGATGTCTGGTCTTTGATTACTTCTGTCAATCTTGGGGCTGGTGTTGACCTATCGGTAAACACTAATATTGCTATGATATCCGGACATCCCACTGTCAAACTTGTCCGGATAATAATTAGGTTTTACTGAATTGGGTGATATTCTAAACTTTATAAAATATATATACTCAGATGATACTGCATTTACGGGTTCCCTAAATGCACATCTGGCGAAATGTCCGACGATTGCGTTCCTTTCAGTTACAAAAGGAACGAAACACGTTCGATATTGTGGAATAGGCTTCCAAGACCTTTTTTTTCCGGGCTCGGCTTTCCCTCCCTTGTTTCTTGGTCTTGCCTTCCCTTGGCTCTATCGTTGCCTATTGCATTTTCTCACTCACATCTGCTAAACATATTGAGACGATTTTGTTTATTGCATTTGGATAGTTTTCTCTTATCATGTCGCTTCACAATTTTTTTTTTTTTTTTTTTTTTTTGGTGTTAAAGAAAGTATACTTAAAAACAGAAAACTATCTGAAAGAGCAGATCCATTATGATGACGACCTTCAAGCACTAGTTCGGAATAACTGGGATTAGTTCTTAACGTACGACAATAGAACAGTGTAGAGAGCATTGAGTTATACTGAGTCCTCCTCCTCCTTCATATCATTTACGCCTCCGCTGTTCTCCTTTTGCGCTTGAGTTCCTTCACCTCCATGACATCTTTGCCCCCGCGCTTGACCACCTTCAATTTGGACTGAATTCCCAGCTTCATATTTCGATGAGGCATGCTCAGTGTTGGAAATGGACTGTTGTCTTTTACATGCCCCTGTCGCTTTCCCTTTAGGCACTTGCTAGTAATCCGGACCAATGATTGAATCTGAAACAATTGGAAGAAAAAGATTTGATCCATTGATTTAAGTTCGGATGAACAGGTTGGCATTGTAAGCTCAGAGATCCTTGCATGGATGACAGTATTGCCAATCATTGCACCAAGGAAAAACACTATCTCAGGGCCGACAGACTGGAAGCTTATGAGTGGCAGATCTTCTTCAAGACCGGGGAGTAGATCATCGAGGCTGTCTTTTGTAAAAATGGCAATGCGGAGGGTATCCGCATTCTTTGACTGTGTTGTGGGGTGGATACCCTTGATTTCTCCATAATATACCTCACGTTTTCCCTCTGTTCGACCCACAATGTCGGGTTGCCTGGCTTGCCCATCCTGAGCCAAAGCAGCTTTTCTGTTCTCGCCCGCAGTCGATGCACTGTTAAGACCGCTAAAAGGAATAACGACAATTAAACCAAAAGAACATCCCATCTTCCTATATGCAAACGGCTAAACAATCAGGATGATATTACCATTTGAATTGGATATGGCCTGGTATATTCATAAATTCACGTAAAATCGGCACGATGACGGACGACATAATATCACTTTCACTTTCAATCTCGCACCATGTATTGTAGTGTCGAAACACATACAGAGCCACAAACAAAACAGGTAATATGTCTTTTTCTTGGCATGTGTAATAGGATCCCATTATCATGTCAACGACCGACCTAAGATTGATCTCGGGTTCCTCGGCGGTTTCAAGGTCCTTGGATAGGTAGCTCAAGAGATTCATTGATCCCAAATTCTGCAGTCAACAACCAAAAAAAAAAAAAAAAAAAAAAAAAGGTGATTGGTGCCCATTATGCATTGCTCAAAACAAACAAGCAGTCAAAAAAACATAATGTCAACAACAACCATAGCCATATCCGCGAACCTGAACCCAAGCGCTCCATAGTGCGGCTGCTTCTACCGACCGCTTTACGTCTTTCTCTTGCAGCTCGCTGGTATAAAACCGACGGAGAACTTCCTTTGTGATAGCTGAGATCTCAGCAGTCTTGAATCCAACATGCTCTTTGTCAAAATGCAGGACACCAGAGAGCAGCCTAGATTGATACATTTCATCACGTCGATTAGTTTGTGTAATTTCGCTTGAACGTGAATCTCATTTGTATGGAGTCAAACTTACTTACGCAATCTGATCTATTTGCTTGAAGTTCAAAGATGTCTTCTGCCTGATCTTGTTGTAGGACTCAGTTATCCGAGGTCCCCAGTCTTTTGTTAGCGGGAAACGGAATGTGAATTCTGGCCGCTCCTTAATCCAGGACATATCTACAGTTCCACTGTAAGGTCGTCCAAATACCTCACCCTCATCACCTTTGTCTCCGCTAGACAGCTGTTCGTGATTGTCGAAAGTTCCTGTGACAGCTCCTTCATCGTTGTTGATATTAAAGAGCGGACGGCGCGGAGGCGACAGTGTTGGTGATGATAAGCCCGAGCCTCAGTCAAATAATGGAGTGCGAGCAGACGAAAATAGCACTATCAGTCGTCGGCCATGCAAATATTGAATGAGAGCAACAAACAATAACAAACAATATCAAATATAAGTATAAATAATACTGTAGTAACTCTTACCTCGTTTCGGACCCACCTCGAAATTGTTTGATAAAAGTGGAATCAAAGTTGAATTATTGACGCTGATATAATGTTCTCTAACAGCCCCACTTCCTTCGATTATCTCGCTTACAGCCGACTTCGTGGACATTCGGACTTGATAGCGAATTCTTCGGTCTGCCCAAAATTCACCACCTTTAGATGCCTTCCACACTTTGTACTGATTAAGCGAACGTCGTCTTATGATATACGGTACAGTTGTTGATTGTAAAACTTGCATAAATAGCGGATGTGCATCTTCCTCACAATGGAACCCAAGCTCTTCGGCGAATTTCGACATTTCTATATCTTCACCCCTTTTAGCTTTCTTTTGTGCCCAACTCAACGGGTCATTCACACGTGGTTCAACTGAGTCGGCAGGATGAAGAGGAGGTAGGTTTTCCTGTGGAGCTGATGATACGCTTCGCATTTGTGATTCTATACGCTCATGATTCTCGTGAACGATTCAATATTAGTAATGAAATTTCAATTTACACAAAAACAAAAGAAATCAAAGAATCATTAAGTGGATATGATGTTATAACATTGTTCGATCCAACTCGTCTTTCCGCCGCCTCGCCGCGTACTAAGCAAAGGTTCGCTAAGAATGTGCTCATGAAATCTACAGCCCACTTAATAATTCTAAATGAATAATTCTAAATGAATAAATCAATTACGGACCTTACGATGTATTACTTGTAACCGCTGAGTACAGTTGAAGAAGTTCAGTGCTACTTAATGTTAAACAGTTAATACACCTGAAGTTGATTGGACAAGATTACGTGACAGCTTTTTTCGAAACACAACTGGCCGCCGACGTGGTCTCCATTGTCCTCGTCTGGCACCACTTGAAACGGGCGCTGACGGAGTTTGAGAGTCGCCAGGACCTACAGGTCATTCACCCAGCCAAAGTTGGATTGGCAGGACGAGGCGATAGCGTGGTTCAGAGCTAGGTCTACACTCGCAAGCGAAAAAAAGGAGATACTGCGACCAAAATCAATGAACGATCGCAATGAAATATGAATAATTATATTTTAATTAAAAGGATTCTGGAATTCTTCGTCTCGTTGGGAGCCATCCTGCATATCTTTTTGTGGAGATACCTGTTCCCTATTCTCGTCTTCACAAGCTCTTACAAGCTTTTTCAAAAAAATGGCGCACACTACTCATGTTACTTTTTTTTTGCATTATCCAGCATGGCCTCCATTCCCTCCGGAGTGCGCATATCATGCCCACCAGACAACTTGGCCAGTAGCTCAACCGAAGTATGAAGTGACTCCTTCGATAGAGGTGAACTATGCATGCTGCTCACAGGGGGTGGAATGGGTTCTTGGGCTCCATCGGAAAGATCAGGAAAGTTACAATCCTCTACAGAAGGGCATGGCCCATTTTTATCCTCCAAAACATCCTGCACATCTTTCTCCGCAATGCGGTTGAGGTTCCAGCCGTTTGCCTCATTCACTGAGGCAACCAAGTGCTCGAAGTACGTCCTTTCTTGCCTCTCATAAAGGTGACGTCGCGTGTACCGGAGCTCATGGTTCTGCTCTGCATTGGTAGTCGACATGGTTTTGAAGGGCGGCCGCATCTCTTCAGGGAGGACCGGCGTTTCAGCAAAGCAATTCCTTAGTGTTGTCACTTTAACGTAATTCCATGCATATGGGATAATCGACCACGCGTGTCCATTAAAAATAGCCTTCACCATGTCAAACGTTCGGATGAGATGCGACTCACGGATAAGCATCTCAAGGAATGCTCGCTTGAACACACTAATAACACCTGCGTCAAGGGGCTGCGTAACAGATGTTGGGTTCACCAGGAGTCGTCGGACGCGGAGATGCTTCCAGGATTAATTGATAAAAGGGTCGCGCATATCAATGTTTTTGTGTTGTGGAGCTGAGTCTAGGAGAAGTAGGCTTGGCTCCGTGAGCTGGTCATCGAGTTCTTTCAGCCATTTCACAAAGATATGGTTTGTCATCCACCCCGATTCAGACTTCCTCACAACCATCTTACTTGCCGACTCTTCGTCAATGCCCTGGGCGATATTTTTGCCTAGTATATAAAATATATCACATCAAGTTAATGTCTAATATTTAATATTTACCAAGGTTTTCAGTAGTTGCTTCTCCTTACCAATGACTAGTGTCTTCAATGCACTCATGGATTCTGCCTTGAGGAGCGATGTGCCCGAAGCGTTGATACAAAATAGAATGGAAACACGGCAGCTCCTATTTGCCTTGATACCGGCTTTCGAGACCTGCGTTGTATAAGACTTGTGCTCCAGCTCCTTGAAATAAAATCCTGTCTCATCGCAGTTGTATATGTTGTCAGGCTTGGGAACATAGCCGCCGAATCTCGACTAGTTCAGGCTCAATCGCCTTAAGGTCAACCGATGCTGCTTCTCCGTGGAGCTGGCAATACGTTATGTTATGACGCTTTTTGAAAGCATCGAACCAGGAAGCTGAAAAAGACGGCATCATGTTGTTGGAGTCCGAGTCAAAAGGATTTTTCTGGTCGGTGAGGACAATATAGGTGGTTTTAGCCGCTTGCTTTATCATCCTTTTGTTGACTGGATTGTTTCGCTTCTGCTGATCTTCCAGGCAGCCATTTTAAGAGCACCGCCTCAAGCTGAAAATTCTTTCGCTGAGTCATATAACATGCGCCCTTTGGATACAACGGAGCCTGTTGTCGAAGCTTCTAAAGGTTACATTGTGGGAGATATCTTTTTGTCGAAGCAAAAGATATTCGTATATATCAAGGAGCTCGATTTTTTGTTCTAGAGTCAAACACACCTTCGCCATTGGGATGGCGTGGTTGTCAACTGAAGGAAGGATAAGGGGAGCATACATATCGCAATTCCTTGCACAATCTTGAAGCCAAGTACCTCTCCTTCCGCTTGCGTTCAATCGTTTTTATTTCAGACTTTGTATATTTGGTCTTCTTGGTCACTTCATAAGCAAGAGCCGACTCTGTGGAGCGTTTTCCAGTTGCCATTTTGATGCTTGGATGCGATTGTTTAATGTAAGGGAACAGGTGATATGTTGTGAATAGTAGCAAGCGGTGGTGGGTTCAAAAATGATTTATTGTTCAAGTCTGCCCTAATCTGCTACAATAATGATGGCTTTTATACTATTCGGGGACGCCGTGTGGAAGTCATGGGGCGTAGTGGGGCTGGGCAAAGAGGCGTAGTGGAGGCGTAGAATTGTCCGGATATTTCGTCAGACAAATCTTGTCGGACATTTCACCAGATGTGCATTTCGGGGAACCCGTAAATGCAATATCACCACCCAATTTAGTAAAACCTAATTATTATCCGGACAAGTTTGACAGTGGGATGTCTGGATATTGCAAGTTCGACTATACAATAGTCTAGAGAGTTTTCGCAAATATTTTTTTCGTCAAGGATTTTCATCGGGATATTGAACCTTACTTTCGCCGACGTAAAAATTGCAGTCTGTAAACAACTTATCGTATGTGCTATCCCTTAAACAGTCAACCTGGCAAATTTGCCATTATAAATGGGCTTAAAATCCAGCAATTCATGGGCATTGTCTTGAAATTTTATTTCGATGTCGAAATAAATGACCGAAAACTAAACTGTCATGGAGCTATCCTGGCTTCTTTATTTGTGCCAATAAAAAAACTCTTGAAGGCTTTCGCATGACACTAGCATCCTCTTAGGGGGCCCATTGTGTTGTTTATTTATTGACTGGTGTAATAGCAGTGATAATATTCGCCATAGTATCGACTTGAAAGGATGGCAATCTGAGTTGATTCATTCTACCGCACCATAGAGCTTGCTCGGCAAGACTTGATTTGTCACATCATTTGCTTCCTCGTCTTCTTGATATATCTGGGTTGGTAAACACTGCGTTTGTTGGGCCTGTTGAAACCAGAGGGAACCACAGCAACATATCATACCCAAGGTGATACAAATATCTCTGTTGGAGTGAGTGGTGAACTGTGTGTGGTTCAGATGTAGTGGACATAAACGGCGAAAGAATGCATCGAAAGGATGTGAGCGGTTATGAGAGCCAGGAAGAAGGGGTTGGTATGCCTGTTCAAGTCCTTGGCAAGAGGGCATGAGTAGCAGTTGTGATCACAAGTTGATTTCGGTGAGTCTGCATAACAATGGTATAGTTTCTAGACCCTATCTTCCACGTACAGCATTGCATTATTGGTGTTTTCAGACCTGGCACCAATCATGCGAGGTATTTCTTTTTCTGAGGATTCCTTGTGTTAAACGGCCAGACAGAAAGCTTAAAAGACATACAGACACAACGGTGAAAAAAAAATGTATGCGAGCAAACAGCTGCTGTGTTTATTTGTTGTCTGCACATGCCTTCTTTCATCGCGGGCTTTTTTTTTTTTAATTGTTTCGCAAATCTTGTTTCCTTTTTTGTTCGTCAATCACTGTGTGCACGAATAAGCAGCTGAAGCATCTCTTTGGTTTCTGTACATGCATAAACACATTTTACATCGCGGCGTCTTATTTATTTTCTGCAATTCCAAAACACAAAACACAAGCGTTTTCCAGAAGAAATAAACAAACTTTATTTTGGCGGCCACTCCACAATCATGCCATGGTTATAACAATCCCTAGGAAAGGATGAAACGCGTCGGTATTGCAGCGGACCCATGCATAGGGTGCCATGATGAGGAGAATGATAGGATCGTGATATCCCAAGACTCTGATTTTTTTGCGTACGAACGAGTCTGCTTCCTAGTGCGACCCCTTCCGCACCGTAGACGGAAGTTTGGGGTTTACGACGTAGACAACATTATCCAAGCACTAAGACTGCCAACACACGCGCATCTGGTGTTATTCTGTGCCATCGCAGGCAATGACTACTCAAGGAACCTCGAGACGTTAGGCCCGATTACTAATCTTCGATTAATTCGAAAGGTTGAGTGGAACGAGAACTATAATAAAATGCTTCAGGCCTACCTAAGGGAAGCTAGTAAGGTGTTGGGAAGGAACGTAGCCTCTGAGGAAGGCCGTTTCAGTGTAGCTCTCCGCATTTTTACTTCCGGCCATCAAACGTCGGCCCAAGCGTTACCATCGAACAATGAGTTCGATAACTTCAAGCAGCGTCTACTCAATGGAAAGGATCTTCGCCATAGAATGGCTCAGCAAAGGCGACCGCAGCGCCGCAGAACGTAAGAAAGCTCAAGCTATAGTTTTTGGCCTTGAAACCAGACGTCCCCAATACTAATCGTTAGTCCCTTTCTTGAATAATGTAGAGGCGTACCATCATTCTATATAGCGGAAGGGTCACATAGGAACCAGTTCCGGCCCATCTTTTCTGACAAGCCGAGCATATTGAATGGGCGCACAGTTGATATCAGTAACTGCTGTCAGCACGATAGGCCGGGCCTTAAGCATCCACCACGTCGGAGAAAGGCAAAAAAGAAGCAACAGAAAAAACAAAAGCGGAAGCACAAAGGCAAGAAGCCCCACAGGGCTAAAAAAGAAGGTGCACCAATTAGGAACTTGAAGGATGCTACGAAGGTTGATCACAGCTACAGCAGTAAGCACCCTATCAAGGCCTTAACAATTGGGTCCCTTAAGGCCTCCATGGCAAGGAAAGGCGGACTGGACGCAGATGAAAGGGATAGTATTGCAAGCCAGGTCCGAGGGGCAGTTGTTGTCCTCAACCGACTACGCCGCTATGCATACTGGGCGATCGCCTTGGGCATTGAGAGGATCATTGTTGCGATTAGCAGTCATTTACATGGGTTTTTACTATAGCAAAGATTTTTACCCTTTTTATTTAACGAAGATCCCCGGATCATAATAAACACATCTTTCTTTCGTTCTCGTTACTTATTATGATCCTGGCATATTTCAATCATGCGGTTACCAGGGGCAGCAAAGTCGAGGAAAAAGGCACTGGACGAGGTCTTGGATAGCAATGATTATTCCTTCCGTCTCGCCACCCTTCTTTTGAGTGGTCAAGGTGGCCCCAATTCAGCTTACGCGAGGGCAAAAAAACAAGGAAAGGCGGTAGAAACGCCCCATCATCACCTCGCTTATGAACATTTCAAGGCCACCACTGAACTTTCCCCAATAAAGGATATAGACATCACATTGGGGGACGTCCAAGGCTTTGATCCCAAAAAGATCACATTTCCAAGAGCGTCAGACTTACTAATGGGCCAAGTACAGACATCATTAAGGCAGCACTGCAGGAACGCAATGGTATAGCTTGTGTAGGGGTATTTTCATGCATATTCTGCAATCAAATGCTCTTTATTCACACCTTTTTTTTTTTTTTTTTTTTTTTTTAGTTTGATGTCGAGAAAACAAACGAAGATATGAGCGACATTGAGTTTTTTTTTGCGGGAGAACAAAAGAGTGAAAAAATACTCAGAGTTTCCTACGTCCCCCTGGTCACCCGGGTATGTGTATCTGTCTGAACACGCCCTAGTTGACACCCTCTGGGCGAACGAAGATACCAAGCAGCTGCTGGAGCGTATTCTGCCTCTCAATAATGCTTCCAAGACTGCAATGTATGAGTGTGTACAGGGAACAAAAGGGGTTTTGATACAGGCTCTCTTTTGTGACATTGGAGGTGATCGCATGGTTCGTGGATATCAAGACAAAGTATCCCTGCAGTCACAGGACAAAGATCTAACTCGGTTCAAACTCAAAGGAACGATTTCTACCAACGGTCTAGTTCTGAATCTACTTGCCTATGACACAACCCAGACGAAGAGACAGCAGCAGTCTGACGTAGATGAAGAAGACCCCAGCCAAGAACTGGAGCTTTCTCAGGGATTTCTCAACACGACGTGTTCAAAGGCGGCCGGTGAAGACCTAACAGATGAAGACTACGCAAACATAAACTGGAAGAGGAGCTCCAAGCTGCTTGAAAACGTTGAGCTCACATTCAACAAACCAGGGCGATGCCCATCCGCAAACACCACAACTATCGTCGGATGTGATCCTGGTATTGTTAACGCCCTTACGTTTTCCTCGCTGGACCCTCACAACCCTAACTTGCGGCAAACGGTAAAGGTGAGAAGCAGGTTCTTGTACCTCCCTGTCCTCCGCTTCAACCACCTGTTGAACAAAAGGAAGCGTGAAAAAGGAATGATTGAGGTTGAGAGCGCCATCCCTGTGTTTGGAAGGGAACGTATAATGAGTACTTTCAATGGATGAACGAGGAGTCTCAGACACAGACAGGATCAACGAATTTGGATGTGCTTCAAGAGTTCTACGAGTCCAGATGGCACCTGAAAAAAAAAATGGGACCTACGAAAGGCTCAACGAGCTACGTTCGGCTACGCGGTACAGCGAGTGTTGAAGATGCTTGGGGATAAAGGAGTACTTGTCGTCGGCCTAGGGTCCTTTGAAAGTAGTAAAGGAGTTCCCAGCAAGCACACTGCTATAACGAGGCATCTTGTCACACAGGTATGGCTGTTTTTAAAAAAGTAAGCAAAGCTGGAAAGCCATAAAAGCCTTGCTAATAAACGACTGCCATTTGAAACGCTTAGGTCAAAGCACGAGGACACTTCGCTGTAGGAGCGCACGAATTTTACACCAGCGCCCGCTGTCCCCGACCCCTCTGCGATAGCTTTTTAGAGACGGTGTACCCTCGCTCTAAATATTGCAGGACATGTAAGGTATTCTTCGACCGTGACGCAGTAGGGGCGGAAAACATCGCAAGAATCGGTCTTGCTCAAATTGAGAGACAAGAGAGACCTGCAAAGTACAAGCCCACGGAAGAGTCGCCTGCTCCGGCTGCAAAGCGCGCACGACGCTAGACACAAGTATTTGGGTGCCGGCACACCCACAAAAAATTTGTAAGTTCTGTTTATTTTCGTCTCCTGTATCCATCCTCTCTAATCTTTTGCCCCTGAATTTCTGGACTAACTTTAAAAACCGTAGATAAAGAAGTATACAGTCACACAAATATATTGGTGGAATCCTTGCAACTTCAAAAAGTCCTTCCTGTTCATTCTGAAAAGTCCTATACACCTCGGCTTCCCGTTGCAATAACTCTTTTCTGTCCTCTTTATGCTGTTGGTGCAACAACATCGAGTTGACATGTGTGCTTTGTGGGGGATTGGAAATGATCATTATGGCAGTTGAGGTAAAGAAGATAGCAAAAATATGAACGAGGCAACTGTTACGTCCTGAGGCTAGGGAGTGTACCCAAATGGAGCACTCCCCTTTTTATTCATAGATCAGAGCAATTATAAGGCTCCGACCTAGCTAAAATAATAAACAACTTTTGATCTCCTTGACTTCCGACTTACCATAAAATATTTCAGCAACGAAAAAAAAAAAATTCTTATTGAATCAATTCAATCCTTGGCTTGACGAAAATTTCGTCAAATACGTTGCTTGATGAAAAAATCAAAATGAATTTTCATCGGTTCATTTTTGCTCTTCCCGATGAAAACTTGATGTAAAAATCGATTTGCGAAAACTCTCCAATAAATATTTCATTTCAGCCACTGTCAATCCAGCCGTTACATCACCTTTTTGCCACCAGTTGTTTCTTATAATTTGTTTGTTTCAAAGCGCGTCAATCCCTTCCTCCAAGCATAACAACCAATCAAAACACACATCCACTTTCTTCTCTTCCTCTCCTTCCCCCTTCCTTTTCCTTTTCCTTTTTCTATTCAATGCTTTAATATTATTCTGTGCAAAATAATAATACACACATTAACACATCTCGTCTCGCTTTTTTTTTTTTTTTTTTTTTTTTTTTTTTGGAGAAAGTAATGTCTAGCCGCTATAGTACATGTAACATGTACAAAAGTCCATATCTGTTTGAATATGCCTTTTATTCATCCTATAACTGTCTAGTGTGACATATCAGTCACATGTAAGTAGTTATTTCACTTATCAATTATTAGTTGTCAATTAGAGATTGTCCTTCACCCTATTTATATCAGTAGGAGGTGATCAATAAAGGGATGAACGTTTCTCATTCACTTTCCAATCCATATTATTCAATTGATCACCCATACTCCTCAATTAGCCCAGAAATTCACGGGCAAAAAAAAAATAATCAGAAAGAAGACACGGAAGAGAACTTTCAAATACTTGTGTCTAGCGTCGTGCGCGCTTTGCAGGGGGGAGAGAGGCTGGCGGCTCTTCCGTGGACTTGTATTCTGTTAGCTTCCCTTGGCTCCTAATCTGAACAAGACCGACTCTTGCGATGCTATCCAAGTACGTACATGCCCAGCAATATTTAATTATTTCGCAACAATCCTTAATATTAAAAGAATAGGAAAGTAGGTTCGGAAAAAACCTTTTAGACAATAAAAGGAGGAGCAATATACGAAAAGAGTTGGAAGCAAGGGCCCAGATTGGATGAAATTGGTTGTTCAGCAGTTGAGAGACTCTGACAGATGTACTACAAATCCTTCGGAAAATCACCTCTTTATTCATGACCTTGTGAATGCCAGCGAAGTTGATATCAGACACTAGAGTTGTTACATCCAAGCCACATTTATATAGGCTGGTTACGAGTCTAGCTGGTACTGGTAGGCTCGTCAACCAGCCTAAGGACGAAGTTCATGTGCACATGCACGTGCTGAAGGCAAATGTGGCTTGCTCTTCTCTCCCAGGCCGGGACCAAACTTTGACATTTTGGCCGGAGGTCTCTTTTTTAATTTGAAAAAAATTTCCAAGTCAAACACACTGCTAGGAAAGGCTCTTTTTTTTTTCCAAGTCATTTACACCACAGGAGATAGCTTTTTTTCTATGTTCAAACTTTTTTTTTTAAGTCATTTTTTTTCAAGCAAAGTCCTACAGATCACAGGAAAATGGCCTACGTGTAAAGCATGCTACTGTTTTTCTTGCTCTCATTTCACAATCTCATTTATTCATCCGATTATCACTACGAAATATACCTATCATCATTCTCATCTTTAAAAAAAAAAAAATAGAAAAACTAAGCTATTCCCTGTGGCGCAAATGACTTAAAAAAAAAAAGAGCAGTGTGCTCGACTTCAAATTTAAAAAAGAGACCTCCGGCCAAAATGTCAAGTTTGGTCCCAACCTGAGAGAGAAGAGCACATGAACTTCGTCCTCAGGGCCTAGATAGTTGACGACTTCTATCATGCACAAGTGTGGCTTGCATTGCCAGCTCTTTTTTTTTTAATTTTTTTATTTTTTTAACGTACGATGAATAACTTCAGTATGAAGATTGGGAGTTTTTTGGATCTTCAAGGAGTATGTGATGAGCATAAAGGGTTGTATGGTGCACAGGCACAACATCTAAATAACATGATCAACTCAAGAGAATGTGTCAATATTCCTTCAAAAAGCTGAATGGCCTATATGAGGAATGAACAAATATTGGCAGGGTATATTGCCTCTGCTGCACAAGCAATGATAATAAACAGCCATTTTATGCAGGAATTCCATATAACACCGCACATATTGTATGTTAACGATTGTCTTTATAGTAGTCCACTTAACTTTCAGTGGACATTCTAACAACAGTCCTGCATCGTTCTTAGGGGCTCAATTGCAATAGAAGCTTTTAAGGCTATCATAAACTGTAATCAAAGTTGTATTATAGTAAAAGCGGATAAAGTGATCAGTTGACATCTGGCAAATTCAAATTTATAATCCTTTTCAAATGTCCCCTTCAATGATCATTTCAGTCCTCCTGGGGAGCAGTTGTAAGCAGAGGAATGAGCAAGTCGAGTGTGAACAAAAGTTTATCTGAGGGACATGGAAAATGAGAAATGTGTGAGTTCTTCGTGCACTAAAAGATTGTGGTTGGTTTTCACGTCACAATGACCAAGAAAATGGCACGTGGCTGATTTGAAAAAAAAAAAATTCTCACGCAAAGCCTAACCTTGAAATAAAGGAACAAATTTATCAGTTGTCGCTCCTTTCTTTCGCACTCTCCTTTTTCACTTTTTTCATATTTCATCACTTACCTCTTTTATTCATTCCAAGCCTTCATTTATTGTCTTTCTTTTCCTTTCCTTCTTTTTTTTTTTGCCTTACATATTTTTCATTATTGTTTCCATACCGTGGCCACGGGTGAAAGAGTAAGAATATACCTTTGCCTATTTAGCCATCATTCTCCCTGCATTTCAACCACACTCATCTTAATTTTCAATGGCCAGCACAAGGAGCTCAACACAAAAAAACATGGCTGCAAATGATTCGACAAGGAGCCAAGCACAAAAAAACATGGCTGCAAATAAGCCTGAGGATGCCTCCACACTCAATAAACGAAAAAGAGAAAACCAACACCCACAACGAAAAAAGCGCGCCATCCCACTGCTGCTGAAGCTGAACTGCGTTGTTGAGGGGGAAGCAACGTCGTTCTCAGTAGAGATTTTCTCCGATAAATCGGTTGGGATGCTCAAGCAAGCCATCTATTTACCTGCTAGATTTGATGATATCCCACCAGAGAAGCTAACTCTCTACAAGGTCTCCATCCCTGACGAAGGCAAGACTGTCGTTGAGTCAGAAATTGTGTCGAAAGAGGCTCTCGCACCCGCGTCAAGGAAGCTTGGGGACATATTTAATTCCGAACTTCCAAGGAAAACGATCCATGTTTTTGTCAAGCCACCGCAGCGAGGTCTCTTGATGGACTGATGATATTTCAATTGATGAAGCTATCTCATCACGGTCACGTGTATCCCTCCCTTTTTTATGTTGTTGAGATGAATCTCGGCAACACTATTTAACCGGGGGCGACTTTGGATTTCATCTCTATAAAAGAATTTGAAAAGTCGCCCCCATGGTCCATGCGCATGCTCTGACTCTCACTGTTGTCTGAGAACACAGTTTTCATTTTTATTTTTTATTTTTATTTGACCTGTTTACATTGATGCATTGTTAGTTTTTCTGATTGAATCTGTTTCGCGTTTCGCACACATGCTCTGACTCTCCATTAGCTGGCGTTTATATCTCATTGACAGCAATATATTCTTTGATCTGATCAAAATGCTAACATTTCTGCCATTGCCGCGCTCTCTTATCTTTCTAGAGTCATCGGAACAGATTCTCAAGAGAAAAATGGATGAAGGTAATAATTTGTTTTTTGCTGTATAGATAGATTGACTTGGTGACTGACTATATGTTATGGTACTAACCAACTGTCTATGTGTACGATGATCATAATTAGATCCACGGTATATTTCACCTTCAAAGAAGATGCGCATTGAGGAAGGGTGGAGAGAATACAGGGCTTCTGATGGCAAAATGGTCACGTTACCACCCTCTTGGATCGCAATGCTGGAGAATCTTGAACACCCGCCCGATCCACGTAATAAGTTTAATCATCTGAAAAGCGACAATCAGCCTGGTGATCAAGTTCACATTCCATCCTTGGGCCTCACACCGAAAGAATTTGAGAAATATAATTCGGAATTTATGATTACGGATCAGATGCTGGAATTGTGGAAGGAGATTAGTGCTGAACGAAGGTTTCCATTTCGGCGAGTCCTTTCTGGTCCTATGGGGGTTGGCAAGTCATATCTATCCTATTTCCTTGCTGCAAAAGGATATGCGGAAGGGTGGCTTACCCTTTATATACCAGATGCCGCGATATTAAATGAAAGTTCGGATACAAAATCGGCAAAGGCACTGTTAAGGCGCTTCTTCGCTTTCAACAGGGATATCTTGACGGCATCTGATCTGGAAAGTCTTCTCAACTTTCCTGGAAATGCACATTACTCAATTGTGGCTGGTCGCGCAGTATTCAACCTATTCAAACAGAAGGAGCGCAAAACACTGTTCATTATCGACGAACATGGAGAGTTATTCCGAAAAGAGCCGTATGTGCCAGATAAATACCCGTTCCTG